GGAGATTTGATGCACCACACCCCATTTTTGTGTATGCAGCATTTACATGTGTCTCAAAGGTACATGTAGCTCTTAATACAGTTTGTGAGCAAGAGCTGCATAGTCTTCATTCACTCATTATTTTGCTGCCTGTTTAATCAATTCCCTGTACTGAGAATCTAGGACTAACAAATAATAAAGAGATGAGTTGAAGGATGGAGATCTCTGCTCTGTGAGTGGCCTTGGAGTGTGTGCCCCGTGCATGAAAGGACTGCATATGTTTGGTTGGATTATCTGATGTGACTTGTGCTCTCAATCTGAGCAACACCAGCCAATACAAACCAGTGCCGATTGTAGGGGACAGTCACAACGAGGTGTAATTAAATTAGAAACCAGCTGGAAAGTAAGTGTATGGACAAATGTGACGTGACTGGAAAATTGCTGTCGTCTCGTAGAACCAATGCTGATATTTGGAAAAATAAGTTTAAACTGATCAGCACTGGCTCTACAGTAAATGTTTTTTAAGTTTGGTACATGGTAAAAAGGGTTGATTTATGCAATAAAAGTATTCAGAGTTTTCTAAAAGAATTTCATAACTTATGGTTAATGGCTTTTTAGGTCTGTAACACGGCTGTCCAGCTGCAGATTTATCTATTGTTTTTGTGTTAGAAATGGGTTTGGTCAATAAGAAGGATAAACATGACCAGAAGGTAGATCAGATCCTGACCACACAGAGCTTGCTCTTGTATGAGCTCCATGCTGATGGAAGATCCTGACCACACAGAGCTTGCTCCTGTATGAGCTCCATGCAGATGGAAGATTCGATCTGGCCCATACAGAGCTTTCTCCTGTATGAGCTCCATGCTGATGGAAGATCCGATCTGGACCACACAGAGATTGCTTCTTGAAAGGGTATGTGCTCCATGCTGATGGAAGATCCGATCTGAACCACACAGAGCTCCGTACTGATATAAATTGAGAAGATAAAGACAATGAATTCTGCCTGTAAAATACCCATTACATTCTAATTTAAGAGGCCTGTTACTACCTTCTTTTATTTATGTGGCAATGGAAATTCGAATGTGGAAATCAATAGTGTTCAGTTGGCTTCTAAAAACACATTAGTGCAGAGAGGGGAGACTCGCTTGAGTTAGATAAGTGATATCAAATCCTGAAAATGTAAATCTTTTAATGTAACTGCTTTGTATTGTAGATTGGGGCATGAAACGTTATTCAGTAGATAACAGGTCAGTCTAATCAACCATCAGTGAATTAAATGGTGTCCAATACTGGGTGACAAATGAATAAAAAAAGGGAAAGGAGTGCCTTTACAAGTGTCCTCAACTCAAAGACGGAGCGAAATGCAAAACAAGGACAAAAAAAACGGAATATGGTGCAGTATTTTTGATGCTGGTGATTACCAGCTTGGACAGTACAATCCCCGTTGTGGATATGCTGATCTTGATCTTATATGGAAAGGTATCCTTAGGCTAGTCAGCAGCGAGTGGTGGTCAGCGTTTGTAGAAGTGGTCTCTTTCAATGGTCCATTTTATCACAGTGAGACTTCACCAGCGTGTAAAATGAAAGTCCAAGTGCATATCTGGAATTGATTTCGAACTCCAGAAGATTATGCCCAGTAGGTGTAACCCTTTCAGCAGTAGGTCTGTGTCTAGTAGGTGTAACCCTTTCAGCAGTAGGTCTGTGTCTAGTAGGTGTAACCCTTTCAGCAGTAGGTCTGTGTCTAGTAGGTGTAACCCTTTCAGGAGTAGGTCTGTGTCCAGTAGGTGTAACCCTTTCAGCAGTAGGTCTGTGTCTAGTAGGTGTAACCCTTTCAGGAGTAGGTCTGTGTCCAGTAGGTGTAACCCTTTCAGGAGTAGGTCTGTGCTCAGTAGGTGTAACCCTTTCATCAGTAGGTCTATGTCCAGTAAGTGTAACCATTTCAGCAATAGGTATGTGTCCAGTAGGTGTAACCTTTTCAGCAGTAGGTCTATGCCTGGTAGGTCTATGTCCAGTAGGTATAACTCTTTCAGCAGTAGGTCTATGCCTGTTTGGTCTATGTCCAATAGGTGTAACCCTTTCAGCAGTAGGTCTATGCCTGTTAGGTCTATGTCCAGTAGCTGTAACCCTTTCAGCAGTAGGTCTATGCCCAGTAGGGGTAACCTTTGTAGCGAAGTTCTAGTCCTAACAAGGACTTTTCCCCGCTGGATCTGTAGTAAATGGAACTCTGGAGCAAGGAGCTGTAAAGTGAATAGCTCTCAGATCCATTCGGTGGAACGGAATCGATATCAGGTAATGTTCTTTCGGGAGTTCCTGTGTGAACACCAACACATGCTCACCCTGGCACTTAGGTAGCGAATGCTCCCTCCCCCAGTTGGTAGTATTTTTCTCCGGGACAGCGCTCTCCTAATTGGTCTGTGAGCAGAACAGGCAGTGGTACAGTTTTCCCCAAGGTTTGCTGGATCGCGTAGCCGAAAGGAATTCTAGACAGTTGACGACCATATACTGCTGCGTTTGGGAAACAAGCTGGCCGCAATTTACAGATGCTTCAATATTTGAATTGGGAGCAGTACTGAGCCAAGTTGACCCCGATGGCGCAGCAGTATATGGTCGTCAACTAGCTTACATAAGCCGAAAGCTATTATCCAGAGAGGTAAGTTATGTTGCCATCGAGAAAGAATGCCTGGCTGTGGTCTGTGAGCGGAACAGGCAGTGGTACAGTTTTCCCTGATGTTCGCCGGATCGCGTAACCGAAAGGAGTTCTAGACAGTTGACTACCATATACCGCTGCGTTCAGGAAACAAACTGGCCGCCATTTAAATATGCTTCAATATTTGAATTGGGAGTAGTACTGAGCCAAGTTGACCCTGATGGCGGAGAACATACCGTAGCTTACATAAGCCGAAAGCTATTATCCCAAGAGGTAAGCTATGTTGCCATCGAAAAAGAATAGTCTTGGAAGCCGCTTGGAGTCGGTCTACCATCCTCTGGAATGTAGCCGGAGCGTTCTTCGTCCCGAACGGCATGACTAGAAATAAGTATAAGTAGAATGAGGTGACAAAGGGCAACTTAGGGATGGCTTCGTTGGCTAGAGGGATCTGCCAGTACCCCTTACAAAGATCCATTGTAGTGAGGTACTGGCCCATAGCCATCCTGTCTAGCAACTCATCTATCCTAGGCATTGAGTATGTGGCTGTAGCGAGCCACCTGGTAACCCGACCGGTTACCTCCGCTAATTCCCTTCCTTCAGCCGATCAGGAATACCAAGAGACCCAGTGCCCCCAGTAACTGGACGAGACATAGTTCTGGAGGTACAACTCTGACAATCTTTACTGAAACCAGCGGGTCGTACTTTTATGCACAGACCACCCAGAGTGGGTCTCAATTCATTCAGTACAAATTCCATAGCCCCAGGCTGGTGGGGGATGGCTTACAGCAGATAACCATCTCCTGCTCTGGGAGATAGCAACTGGACAAAAGTTACACACATTAAAACATAGTACAGACAGGGGGGACACTTGGAGGCTCTGCGCCTTGGGAAGGGACACATATCATTGGATAGCCCCAGGTCCCCCCTGGGATCCCTGCAAATAGCGGGGCTTTTGGATGTACAAAGCCTGAGAAATCATCGTCTTAAGTCTAGGGCTCGAGGCTCTGTACATTCCTGAAATGAGTTCCATGGAGTTGCTTGGTTTAGTCTGGTGAATTCAAACTTCGCGCCTAAACCAAGCAACAATCAGCTGAAAGGGCGCAAACCAAATCGCGCCAATCAGTGCTCGGGGAGAAGAGGAGATTCGCTGCCCAATCCAAAGAAAGGGTGCGAAACTCAGTTGCACCAATCTGCGCTAGGGGAGGAGTGGGGTTTCGCCACCCAATCAGACGAAAGGGTGCGAAACCCCTTTTGGAAGGCACTCCTTCTCTGATTGGTCGTCTGCGTCCTGCAGTGACCAATCAGCACTCCCTCGTGTCGACCAATCAGGAGAATGGCGCAAACCCAGTTTGAATAGGAGCGCCTTCTCCCACTGGTCGTCACGGACTTCCAGGCAGCCAGCGGGCACTATGCTGCTGCGAAGCCAACTCACAGCACAAGGGTCCCTGCTGGGGCTCATGCCTCTCCCCGGTGGCCGCCTTCACTGAGGCAGACCCCGGGAGAAGTGCTCTTTGGGCAGATACGAGTCTGACCTCGCAGCCCCCGGGTAGGGGAACAGTGATTATGGCTTCCTAAAGAGCAAGTTAGGATGATCCAGACCACCAGAACCCCTTAAGATATCCCCACCAGCATCAGGGACTCGTCCCTGAAGTCTCAGTGCGAAGCCATCTCAACGGAAGCGTCCCTCTTTGGGATCCGAATGATCCCCATGGTGGTCACCCAGGGGAATGCTCCCCCTGGTGGCCACCCAGGGGAGCGCTCATTAAATACTTCCCTATCGGTTTCACACCTGTGTTGCAAGTGTGAACGTTCTGATTTATTGGTGGGAATGTTCTAATGGGGCACCGGGGTGGTCTTCATTCGGGAGATGTACGGGCTTCGTGCGACAGGGCACCCCCGCAGGGTCAAAAAGCATATTACACAGTTAAAATAAAACTACATGGGGAAACACATTTTATAATGGGGAATCTGCGAATATAGAAGAGGGCAATTCACAGACAGCCAGCGGTCCCGCCACAGCGTCCGACACAGTCTTGTATAGTTTAACCTTCGGTAGTCTACACAGAAGCGGGTCGTACCATCCTGGTTCGGTACCAGGACTACTGGGGAGGGCCAAGGGCTGTCAGATGACTCGACCCCCAGTCGGGGCATCTCTTGGATCTCCTTTCACATATTCAGGGATTTGGTACAGAGGTTGGTGTAGTGGTAGCTGATCTGAGGTCTCTACGCGATGCCAAAGAAGTATACCTGGGTACGTTGGAGAAGGTGGCCCTTTTAAACTCAAGTAATTGTTGTACCTGGGCACGCTCCTGAAGATTCAGCCGCTACCCCATCTTGACCTCATCTAAATTGTCAATTGACTCCCGTCCCTTAGGTCAGGTATGGGAAGGTTTTCACAATTTTTAAAGGTAGGGGCGCAGATCCCCACCACTAACTCCGATCTTTCATGGAAGGTAGGGTTTCAGCATATTTACATGGCGCATGCATCGCCCTTCTGCTCCAGAGCAAGGGCCGATCACATAGGTGGTATCACATTTCTGTTCTACTACCTGTTATGGGCCCTGCCAGGCCCCCTGCAGCTTATCATTGCGGACAGGTTTCAAAATTAAAACTTTCTATCCTACTTGAAAGCTGCGGTCCCAGGCTCCCCTATCGTACCATGTGCAGTGGTGACTCTGGGCCGCCTGGAGATTCGTTTGCACGGCTCTGGTTATCTCCTCCAGGCAGTCACGGGACTACAGGGGTCCCCTCCGGCTAACATCCCCTTCCAAGTGTTACCTGATGAAGTCTAAGGGCCCCCTCACCCACCTACCAAATAGCCGCTCGAACTGGGAGAACCTGGTGGATTCCTGAGACAACTCCCGTAAGCGAACAGGAGGTGAGGTGTGAATCTCTCCCAGTCTTGGCTGGTGGCAGCAAACATTTGGAGCATTTGCTTTAATATTCCGTTGAGCCATTCGTCTGGGGATGGTAAGGGGAGCTCATGCTTGGCCCAATGCCACAGAGCTTTTTAGAGTTGATGTGTGACCTCTGGGATAAATTGGGAGCCCTGATCCAAGAAAAATCCATTCGGGAGAAAATTTGCATCTGGGCTTCCACAACCGTTTCTGCGTGAATGTTGGTTAACGCCACCGCCTCTGGGTACCAGGTCGCATAGTCCACTACTGTCGAGATATACTTCTTGCCGGAGGGGTTAGGCTCGCCAGGTGTCCTACCAATCTGCTACCAGGCCGAAGGGCTCTTCGATAATGGGAAGAGGGTGAAGTTTAGCCTTGTGGCAGTCTCCCCTCTCCTACCTTCTGACAGGTATCACTTCAAACTAAAAGAAATTGGTCTAGATGAATATTCTTGTTGTTGGGTAGAACACTGGCTTAAGAATAGAGTACAACAAGTTGTCATTAATGGTAAATTTGCAGGCTGGACAAAAGTGGTAAGTGGTGTCCCTCAGGGTTTTGTTTTGGGACCGCTTTTTTATTTAACATATTAATAAATGATCTTGAAATAGGCATTGAAAGCCATGTATCAGTATTTGCAGATGACACAAAACTTTGTAAAGTAATAAAATGTGAGCAGGATATTGCTTTGCTACAGAGGGATTTGGATAGATTGGGGGACTGGGCACTAAAATGGCAGATGAAATTTAACATAGAGAAAGTTATGCACTTTTGGGTTAAGAATGCACAAGCAACTTACACCCTAAATGGTAGTGAATTAGGGATAACCACACACGAGAAGGATTTGGGAATTGTTATAGACAACAAATTAAACAGCAATATGCAATGTCAATCTGCAGTTGCTAAGGCCAGTAAGGTTTTGTCATGTATAAATAAGGGCATAAATTCTCGGGATGAAAATATAATTTTGCCTCTTTATAAATCGCTGGTAAGACCACACCTTGAATATGCTGTGCAATTTTGGGAGCCTGTTCTAAAGAAAGATATCATGGCACTAGAAAAATTGCAGAGAAGAGCTACAAAATTGATAAAAGGAATGGAGCATTTTAGTTATGAAGAAAGGTTAAAAAATTTAAATCTGTTTAGTTTGGAAAAACGGCGCCTGAAAGGGGATATGATAACATTAAACAAATATATTTGGGGCCAGTACAAACCTTTATCTGGAAATCTATTCATAAACAGGGCTATACATAGGACACGAGGTCACACATTTAGGCTGGAAGAAAGGAGATTTCATCTAAGGCAAAGAAAAGGTGTTTTTTTTTTTTTTTTACAGTAAGAGCAATAAGGATATGGAATTCTCTGCATGAAAAGGTGGTTTTGTCGGTCTATACAGATTGGTCTATACAGATTGCAAAAACGTAACATACAGGGATATAATTTCTAATTAGTGGGGTAATAGCTGCTTGATCCAAGGAGACATCTGACTGCTATTTTGGGGTCAAAAAGGATTTTTTTTCCTAGTTTGTTGCAAAATTGGAAGCATTTCAGCCTAGGTTTTTTTGCCTTTTTTTTTGGATCAACAGCAAAAACATATGTGAGGAAGGCTGAACTTGATGGACGCAAGTGTTACAAACTGCCATTTGTAACTGTTATTTTATTTGACAAATTGCCCTGCTTCCCTGTGTTATGGAGAAGCCTAATTGCCAGCCTTCTGCCCCATGACTATGGACCTAGTGTGTATGGCGATTTGACTGTATTTGTGGGATCTGAGCGCTGTTTGGATATATTGAGCGCTCAGATCCAAGCCATCCTGGGATAGGTTGAATGTTGGGGTTCTGTTCAGTTCAATAGGAGTTATGTATTTTTGTGTCTTTTTGTGTCTTTTGCTAACATGTGGTTAATGGAGTCTGCCTCTATCCCTGGATAATTGGATTACTTTCCCCATTGTCCAGGATAGAGGCCTCTGTAAAACCGGTTTGGGCCAGAAAACCATGCTGCCAGCCAGGCCCCAAAAGATACTTTTGCTAACTTTTGAACCCCTTGTCTGATTTGTGCCATTTTTTAATATGTTGCTCCCCTTAATGGATTGATTCCAAATATGTAATTTTTATGAAGATTGGATGTGTAGTTTGGAAGTTATAGTACATGTATAAAAACTGTATTTTTACTGTTCTGTTTTAATTATGTTATGTGATTATCTGAGGGATGGGAATTTCCCCGAATGTATATTGTTCCGATTGGTTATACTGCTAATTATGTGGGTGTCTCCCTTGCATGGGCAGAATCTCATAAAAGCAGAGTGTGTGCCATTAAACATCAGATCTTCTTGACCCTCAATACGTAGCCTTGTCTCGTTATTGGAGGGAACTGCTATATCACACTGGGGATTGCTATGCTCTGCATACTCCCCTGAGCTTTTAATCACTTAGCTCTTTTAAGAGCTGTTCCTGTTACGCTCTCCTGGAGGAGAGGTCTTCCCCACACGGTCCTGGAGGACAGAAGCTGATCCAGGGTGGAAGGAAGACGGCGAGACTCCAGTTAAGCTACGGCGGTTGTGGAGTCTGCGGTGGTTGTGGTGTCGGCTGCAGTGTTTGGAGTCCTCAGGAAGCGCTAGGAGCATCCATCAACGGAGGGTACTCGGTCGGAGTACAGGGAGCTCCGTTACAGCAAGTAACTATATAACAAGTCTGGCAATATTGCTTGATGTCTTGGGAAATACCTTACTTAGAAAAAGCCTGTACTGAGTTAGTCTATTATTTTGTCCGGCTAACTCTTTTAAGTGTCCAGAAAGTGGGATGTCACTTTTGTGGCACAACAAGTCGACACCAGCCACTACCTTCTTAGATTCCCTATATTGCAGTCCCTTGCTCCAAGCATACCTCTCTCCCTTACACCTAGCCTGGATAGAAGTGACCCTGTCCCTATATATTTTGAAAGTGGGGTCCGTGGCTACTTGCCTCCCAAAATCAGTAGGGGTATCCCAGGGAAGGATTTCTAAGCTCTGTGAATTTGTACTGACCTGAACATCCGGAGGTGTGCAACAGTCCAGGGTGCGGGCCATCTGCTGGGTGGTTCCTGGTTGTTCAAAGGTAGAAGTGAGGTAGAAGTGAGCTTGCCCAAATTGTTCCCGAGCAGCACCTCTGCTGGCAATTGCTGCATCAACCCAACTTCCACCATCCCTGACCCTGCACCCCAATTCAAATGAACCCTGGCCGTGGGTGTCCTGTACACGGCTCTCCCCCCTGCCACACGGACTGCCACTGAGTTTTCTGTTCGGGCTGAATCAGGAACCAGATATCTGCAGACCAGAGTGAGGATGGCCTATGTATCCCGAAGTCCTTGTACCACTTTCTCCTGCAATTGAACTGGCTGCCTGTGGTGATGGCGGATATTTGTAGTGGCTTGGATGGGGTCTGCCTCATGCAATGTTCCCCAGCTTTCTTTTGGTTCGGAAATCAAAGTATAGGATGTTGCCTCTGAGTGTTAACAATGGGCAGTCACTCTGTTCGCTGGAGGGGGCCCGGGGCAATTCCATTGCGCTCTATTCTGGTGGCAATCTCGCCTCATGTGCTGCATTATATTTGGTTATGAGGTTAGAAGCGGGGAGGCATAGGGTTGAACACATCTCCGCTTTGTGGCTGTATCGGTGGTCCCGGAGGAGGCAGGGCTGGTTGAGGGAAAATCTTTAGCTATGTTGGCCTCTCGTGGTGGCAGGCATCCAAGTAACCATGCCTACCTGCTTCTGTGAGGTTGGTTCCTGGATGTCTGGAGCTAGCCTATTGTAAAATTGTTCCAACAATATCAGTTGTAGCAGCCCCTCCATGCTGCTCATTTGGTGTGTTTTTATCCATTGGAGGTGGCTCGGTGTAACCGGCATGTCCACTCTGCATGGGAGTCCTTCTTGTTTTTTTTTTTAAGTCTCTGAACCACCTTCGGTATGCATCCAGAGTCCAGATGGCATACCTGACTAGGGCATAGTCTCGAAACTCTTCGTCAGGGACTGCTCTGTAGGCATCAGCGGCTCTCCCTGACAGCTTGCAGGCTAAGAGAGGAACCCAATCCTCTGGGCTAACTTTGCTTAAGATACACTGCCTCTAAAAAATCTTGGAGGAAGGAATCAATGTCCTCCTCTGCTTCTACATGGTTTTTGAATGCCCAGTAAGGGATTTTTGGCTTACCCTCCTGTATGTTGGGTACCCCATGGTTTGTTCACTTGCCTGATATTCGGTTAGGTGCAGTCTGTTTTCTTATTTGGCTTTAACCAGCATGAACTCCTGTACCTCTGACATCGTTCGAGCTAAGATTTCTGTAGAGGGATTTTCGCTGCAGAAAGCCAGCTGAAAGAATAGCTCCCTCTGAAAGTCACTTTCCTCCATCACTGGTAGATCAGGAGTACTGCTGGTTCTCCTCCATCGATTACTTGCTACCTTACCCCTTGCCTCTAGGAGATCCTTCAATGTGGAACGTTTTAGGATGGTGTAGTCGACCTTCATCCACGATCCATTTGGTAAACTGCTTTCCACTGACTGTGTAGAAAAACACAACCTAAAAATAAAATACAAACAGAGAAGGACCACAAATGGTACAGATAAAATGGCATACCATAAAATAATAAAAACTAAGATGCACTCACAAACACGTGTAAAATAGGCGGAGTACGGATTAATGAGAACGAATACTTCTGTTCTTCTCTTCTCCCACTTTTAGAATTTTAGGGATAAAAGAGAAACACAAAACATAGTGTACAAATGGATAGTATAAAGAAATGCTTTATTTGATTGCATTCACAAGAGTTAAGTAGTAAAAGAGCCCATCAAAATCACAGTATATCTTCAATCCCTCTGGAAAGGTTAATCACCACCAAGGATGAGAAGTTCAAAGCGAAAAGATAGGAAATAATAATAAAAAAAAAACCAGCAATATAAAAGCACTCTTGCCACCCTACGCGTTTTGTCCAGAGACTTCGTCAGAGGTATCAGGCTGTTGTCCTCCAGTTGTCTCTTCATATGTTGTTTAAATAGCCCGCTTGAAATGTCCTAATGGCTCACTAGCCAATCAGGAAAAAAATCAGTTTTCACTTAATAGCATCCACCTGTAAAAAAATAAAGGTTGCCTTCCGTATACTGCATCTCCTTCTGGAATTTTGTGTTCCAAGACTCGTTTTCGGCAATGGGCGGATATGATGTAATATTATCCTTACGGCAATGGAACGCATATGTGTTCCATACCCCCGGCATCGGATAACATCTTCTCCCATTGGCTAAATGCTCCATTACCGGGGTATCGGCATAGAGATTATATCAGAAGGAGGAGTGTGCAGAAGTAACGTTAAAATATATAAATAAATACAAACTTGAAATACACATGTATAAATGAAAGGCATCAAAAAATTCATCATTATAAAAAGAATCAGACTTACAGTATATAAAAAGAAATTCACTAATAACATTATTTAAAGGAACACTATAGTCACCTGAACAACTTTAGCTTAATGAAGCAGTTTTGGTGTATAGAACATGCCCCTGCAGCCTCACTGCTCAGTCGTCTGCCATTTAGGAGTTAAATCCCTTTGTTTATGAACCCTAGACACACCTCCCTGCATGTGACTTGCACAGCCTTCCATAAACACTTCCTGTAAAGAGAGCCCTATTTAGGCTTTCTTTATTGCAAGTTCTGTTTAATTGAGATTTTCTTATCCCCTGCTATGTTAATAGCTTGCTAGACCCTGCAAGAGCCTCCTGTATGTGATTAAAGTTCAATTTAGAGATTGAGATACAATTATTTAAGGTAAATTACATCTGTTTGAAAGTGAAACCAGTTTTTTTTTCATGCAGGCTCTGTCAATCATAGCCAGGGGAGGTGTGGCTAGGGCTGCATAAACAGAAACAAAGTGATTTAACTCCTAAATGACAGTGAATTGAGCAGTGAAATTGCAGGGGAATGATCTATACACTAAAACTGCTTTATTTAGCTAAAGTAATTTAAGTGACTATAGTGTTCCTTTAAAATCAATAAAATAAAATTAGAAATTGACATGATCAAATTACCACCCGTAGATGCTTATAAAAACCTTGTAAAAAATCACACCATATCAAAATCAACATTCATTCCCTCGGGTTGCATGGTTTTAATGGTATAAATCCAGTACCCCTCTCTTTGTCTTAATTTGAGAACCAGATCACCCCCTCTGTCATCAAGGGAAACTTTCTCTATCCCAATGCACGAAAAACTGTCTGGATTAAAACTCCTCCAGTTATTACAATACACTGGGACTGAATGTGTTAATATATGCATTGTGATATTATTCTTATGTTCTAAAAAACCTTCTTTTTAAAGGTCTAATTGTCCTACTGACATACTGTACCCCGCACTCACATGTTAAAAGATATACCACATGTGAAGTGATGGATTCTTTTATCGAGAATTGTTTTTTTGTATTAAAACTTTCAACATTTTCTTTTTTAAATGTCTTATAATTACAACTTTTGCATGACCCTCAGGATAAAAACACAACACTTTTCTTTTCTCTATGTTCCTAGTTTCTAAAAGTGCTAATAAAGTTTTACAATTTCTACCTTTCCTAAAAATAATTTGTGGTACAGGCGGAAGTTCAGTTTTTAAGAGATCATCATCTAATAAAAGTGGCCAATGTTTATGGAGAATCTTCTTGATTTTTGTTGCATGGGCATAATATTGTGTATTAAAAGAAAACACAAATGTATTTGTAACAGGGGAATAGACTCCTTATTAATCAACAAATCAACTCTGTTACAATGAAAAGAATGTGTTATTTTTTGTTAATACATTTTTCTGTGTAAACTTTTTCTAAAAATGTAATCTTTAAAAGGGAAGCTTGTTCTAAGAAAAGTTCTTGGTCGGTACAATTTCTCCTCAATCTCATAAACTGTCTCCGAGGAACCCCTCAGAGCCAGGTTGGATGGTGGCTACTTTCAGTGTCGATATAACCATTAGCATCAGTCGGCTTAAAAAAAAAGTTTTTGTTTATATTTTAGAATCCTTAATAAAAATTGTAAGGTCTAAAAAATGTATTTCATTCTTATTATAAACTGGTGAAAAAATGAATGAACAATTATTATCATTAATGTAAGCCATGAACTGTGTTAAAGCGTTTTCGGTGCCATTCCAAATAATAAAAATGTCATCGATATATCTTCTCCAGAGTACCAAGTTCGCGCCAAATGGATTATTAGACCAAATAAAATTCTGTTCCCAATGATCCAAAAAAATGTTCGCATAACTTGGCGCAAACTTGGTACCCATGGCTGTCTCTTGGAATTGGAGATAAAACTCATTATTAAAAAGGAAGAAATTATGTGTTAAAATAAAAAGAATACTATCTAATAAAAATTAGCAAAAATCTGCCGATATCTCTGTATCTAGCTCTAAGGCTGTCTTCACTGCCAGGAGGCCTAAATGGTGTTGGATGATCATATAAACTGACTGTAACGGAACCGCTGGCACCCCGACCGGGTACCTTCCGCCGACGGATGCTCCTAGTGCTTTCCGAGAACTCCAAGCACTCTGCCCGACACCATAACCACTCCAGACCCCACGAACCGCCGCAGCTTGGTTGGGGTCTCGCCATCTCCACCCACTCTGGACCCAAGACCAGGGTCGAGCTTCCAGTAGGTTGACCTCTCCAAATTCCAGAGAGCAGGAACAGGAACAAGCTCTTAGCAGAACTTAGTGATCATACCCTGGGGAGTATAGGGATTATAGCAATCCCCAGAGTGTAGTTTCTCCAATCCCCCAAACATGAGCCAAAACTTCATGAAGGTACAAGATGATCTGACTTTTAATGACCACACACTGGCTTTTATGCAATTCTCCTGCAAGGGGACATCCCACAGGGTGGGACACAGTACAACCAATCGTTTACAGAAAAACTGTAAAACACACCCATCCCCAACATACAATCCCTCCCCTCAGCCTCTGATATAATTACTGAACACAATGGGTTAATGTAATTTATCACAGGCAGGAAAAATACACTTTTTATACATACACTGTAACTTTAAAAATATGGATCATATTCACATAAAACATACATATTCAGAATCAGCACACTTTAAATATAAACATAACCAAAAATCATTCGAATCCCCCCAGTAGATAAAAAGTTAGCTGGGAGTCCTTTATGACCGACCGCAAGCACATTTTCATGCCCAAAACAGCTCCAGAGAATCAGGCTGTGCGGTCGGTCTATTTCCCATGTTAAAGTCAGTTCAAACAGACGAACGACAACCATTCGAATTGTCAAACTGTCGAATGGTGTTCGAACTGTCGAATGCATTGAAGTCTGGAGAAGGTAAAACTTCAGCTGAATTAAAGATGGCCGCCGCCACGTGTTCGTTTGTCGAATGGCGGCCCCCCCGGCGTTCGGCAATTTACCTACAGCAGGCTCCCAGCCTGGGAGGTAAATTGCCTGCACACTTCCACTTCTGGGTGGTCCGCCTGTGTGGTACCTGGTTCAGTAAGCCCCATTTACTGAACCAAGTTGGAAATAGCCAGGCACAAAGTATTTTATCGGTCTGGGGACATAGTCTTAAAGGGGCATTGTCACACAAAGTCTCAATTAACGGTTCTTAAAGGGCCAGCATGGTCCAATACAAGTCCATAAACCACAATGCAGTTCTTAAAGGGCCAGCAGCAGCACAATATAAATTCATTAGCCCAAATAATGTTTGTAAAGGGCCATACAACCCAGGGCCATAGTCATGAGGCAGGAGGCTGGCACTCAGGCTCCTCCAACAGCCAGGGGCAAAGGGCAGCTTGTCACCTAAAAATCACAGTGACATCAACTGTTTCCCAAATATAGTCACTTTTCCAGTCTAAACAGTCAATTTCTTGTATGAGACTTTTTGTGTCCTTCAGGTATGATCTTGCCCCCTGAGCCTACTTTTGGAGATGGAAATCTATAAATTCAGACAGTTTGGATGTAAGTGAGTGTATGCCACTAATAATCGGCCTCCCTGGTGGGTGAGAAATGGACTTATGGACTTTCGGCAAATTTATATAATTATTATATTCCACTATATGTCACAAGGGTAAAATTGTATTGTTTTTCCACTGACTGTGGTTCTTGTTCCGCAGTGAGCTCTGGATCCCTCTGCTGCCAACCAATGTAGCGAAGCTCTAGTCCTGATAAGGACTTTTCTCTGCTGGATCTGTAGTAACTGGAACTCTGGAACAAGGTGCTGTAAAGTGAATAGCTCTATCCCTCCCCATTCGGTAGAACGGAATCGCCATTTGGGTTAAGTAAAGGTGGTAGCCCAAATAGTTCCAGAGAAAAGTGGGCATTGTCCGGTAATTTTTCGGGAATTCTTGTGCGAACACCAATAAATGCTCCTCCTGGCTCTTAGAGAGTGAATGCTCCCCCAAGTCAGTAGTATCTGTGGCGAAAGGGACCTCGACACTGGTTTTTGGAGTGGGATTTTTATTGGACCGTGCTGGCCCTTTAAGAACTGTCTGGGGACATATTGTGACTTTTGGGAACAATGCTCCTTTGAGACTGTGTCCCCAGACCTTTAAAATACTTTGTTTGTGCCCTTTTCCCACTTGGTTCAGTAAATGGGGCTTACTGAACCAGGTACCACACAGGCGGACCACCCAGAAATGGAAGTGAGCAGGCAATTCACCTCCCAGGCTGGGGGATTGCTGTAGGTAAATTGCCAAACGCTGGGGGGCAATGTCTGTGTGAGTGCAGCCTCAGGTGTCTGGGCAGTGTGAGTGTGAGTGCTCCCTCAGGTGGCTGGGCAGTGTGTGAGTGCCCCCTCAGGTGTCTGGGCAGTGTGTGAGTGTGAGTGCTCCCTCAGGTGGCTGGGCAGTGTGTGAGTGTGAGTGCTCCCTCAGGTGGCTGGGCAGTGTGTGAGTGTGAGTGCCCCCTCAGGTGGCTGGGCAGTGTGTGAGTGTGAGTGCTCCCTCAGGTGGCTGGGCAGTGTGTGAGTGTGAGTGCCCCCTCAGGTGGCTGGGCAGTGTGTGAGTGTGAGTGCCCCCTCAGGTGGCTGGGCAGTGTGTGAGTGTGAGTGCCCCCTCAGGTGGCTGGGCAGTGTGTGAGTGTGAGTGCCCCCTCAGGTGGCTGGGCAGTGTGTGAGTGTGAGTGCTCCCTCAGGTGGCTGGGCAGTGTGTGAGTGTGAGTGCCCCCTCAGGTGGCTGGGCAGTGTGTGAGTGTGAGTGCCCCCTCAGGTGGCTGGGCAGTGTGTGAGTGTGAGTGCCCCCTCAGGTGGCTGGGCAGTGTGTGAGTGTGAGTGCCCCCTCAGGTGGCTGGGCAGTGTGTGAGTGTGAGTGCCCCCTCAGGTGGCTGGGCAGTGTGTGAGTGTGAGTGCCCCCTCAGGTGGCTGGGCAGTGTGTGAGTGTGAGTGCCCCCTCAGGTGGCTGGGCAGTGTGTGAGTGTGAGTGCCCCCTCAGGTGGCTGGGCAGTGTGTGAGTGTGAGTGCCCCCTCAGGTGGCTGGGCAGTGTGTGAGTGTGAGTGCTCCCTCAGGTGGCTGGGCAGTGTGTGAGTGTGAGTGCCCCCTCAGGTGGCTGGGCAGTGTGTGAGTGTGAGTGCTCCCTCAGGTGGCTGGGCAGTGTGTGAGTGTGAGTGCCCCCTCAGGTGGCTGGGCAGTGTGTGAGTGTGAGTGCCCCCTCAGGTGGCTGGGCAGTGTGTGAATGTGAGTGCCCCCTCAGGTGGCTGGGCAGTGTGTGAGTGTGAGTGCCCCCTCAGGTGGCTGGGCAGTGTGTGAGTGTGAGTGCTCCCTCAGGTGGCTGGGCAGTGTGTGAGTGTGAGTGCCCCTCAGGTGGCTGGGCGTGTGTGAGTGTGAGTGCCCTCAGGTGGCTGGGCAGTGTGTGAGTGTGAGTGGGCCCCCTCAGGTGGCTGGGCGGTGTGTGAGTGTGGTGCCCCCCTCAGGTGGCTGGGCGGTGTGTGAGTGTGAGTGCCCCCTCAGGTGGCTGGGCAGTGTGTGAGTGTGAGTGCCCCCTCAGGTGGCTGGGCAGTGTGTGAGTGTGAGTGCCCCCTCAGGTGGCTGGGCAGTGTGTGAGTGTGAGTGCCCCCTCAGGTGGCTGGGCAGTGTGTGAATGTGAGTGCCCCCTCAGGTGGCTGGGCAGTGTGTGAGTGTGAGTGCCCCCTCAGGTGGCTGGGCAGTGTGTGAGTGTGAGTGCCCCCTCAGGTGGCTGGGCAGTGTGTGAGTGTGAGTGCCCCCTCAGGTGGCTGGGCAGTGTGTGAGTGTGAGTGCCCCCTCAGGTGGCTGGGCAGTGTGTGAGTGTGAGTGCCCCCTCAGGTGGCTGGGCAGTGTGTGAGTGTGAGTGCTCCCTCAGGTGGCTGGGCAGTGTGTGAGTGTGAGTGCCCCCTCAGGTGGCTGGGCAGTGTGTGAGTGTGAGTGCCCCCTCAGGTGGCTGGGCAGTGTGAGTGCCCCCTCAGGTGGCTGGGCAGTGTGTGAATGTGACAGGACTGGTAAAACCCAGCACTTTGCCCTTACTAAACATGGCTGCAAGACATGTTTTTGCACTGACGTCATCATCACCAGCTCCAATGAACGATCAGGACGTCAGTCCCCGGAGACCACGCCCTGAATCGTACAGCCAATCAATGAGAGTTATGTAGCTCCACGCCCAGTTTCCGAGTTCGACCAATCAGCGGTCGCCATCCATCCCGGAAGTAGTGTGAGTGGGTCAGGAGGAAGCCGGAAGTGATCGAGTCCGCAGTTACGGTGTCGGGATGGATCGGTGACAGAGGCCGATGGAAGGGGCGGGTCCGGGGGACTCGGGAAACGGCGACACCGGGGAGAGCGGCGGGGAGAGCGGCGTGGTGTATACCATGGAGAACAAACCCATCGTCACCTGTCAGTATTATCATTATCACTGTTACTGTTATATTACATTATTATTATATTATTATTTATTATTATTATTATTTATTATTATTATTATTTATTATTATTATTATTATTATTATTTATTATTATTATTATTATTATTATTTATTATTATTATTATTTATTATTATTATTATTTATTATTATTATTATTATTATTATTTATTATTATTATTATTTATTATTATTATTATTCCATGGAGAACAAGCCCATAGTCATCTGTGAGTTCTTGTATCCTATATTTTTATTATATTTTTCTACCATTGAGAACGAACTCCCCTGTGAGTCCCTATATAATGATATCTTGTTATTATACCGTGGTTATGATATAACTTTCCCCCTCTTTATTTACCAATTTAGGCTCATTGTAGCCTACTTATCATTGCTATGTCAAACCAGACTTCCTTCCCATTATTGCCTGGACATGATATATAAATGATATTTAGTCTATACTTCTCATTCACCAAGTGACACTCCACAATTATTTGCCAAATTGTCATTATTGAGGAACCAGTGACAACCTCAGACCTTTTAGGCTCCTTGCCCTTTACTGGGCAAGTGTAAATACCTTGCCCTCTAGTGGGATCAAAGAGGGTGAGTAAGGGCACTACCCTCCAAATCCTTACATTGTGTATATAATGGGTCTGTAACCAGACGGTGAGGGTTAGTAAGGGCACTACCCTCCAAATCCTTACATTGTGTATATAATGGGTCTGTAACCAGACGGTGAGCGGTTCTGTCCTTGGCCCCCTACTGTTCTCCATTTATACTGCCTCCCTCAGTAAACTCATTAGCTCCTTTGGCTTCCAATATCCTTTCTATGCGGATGACACGCAAATCTACCTGCCCTCTTCTGATCTCTCTCTGCCCATCTTGACTCGTGTCTCTGGCTGCCTCTCTGCAATTTCCAACTGGATGGCTGCTCACTTTCTTAAACTCAACCTGTCCAAAACAGAACTTCTGGCCTCCCTCAAGTGTTAACACTCCTGTGTCTGTCTCCCTCCAAGTCTACAGCGCTACCATCACCTCTACCTCACAGGCTCGCTGCCTGGGTGTTCTTTTTGACTCCAACCTCTCCTTCACCCCTCACGTCCAATCAATCACCAAATAGCACACATCTCCCCCTATTTAATGCCGTATGCGGCTAAGGTGCTGGTCCATGCTGTTGTTCTCTCTCTCTCACCTTAAAGGACCACTATAGTGCCAGGAAAACATACTCGTTTTCCTGGCACTATAGTGCCCTGAGGGTGCCCCCACCTTCAGGGTCCCCCTCCCGCCCGGCTATGGAAAGGGGAAAGGGGTAAAAACTTACCTTTTTCCAGCGCTGGGCGGGGAGCTCTCCTCCTCTGATCCTCCTTCTCTCCTCCCCGTCGGCTGAATGCGCACGCGCGGCAAGAGCTGCGCGCGCATTCAGCCGGTCTCATAGGAAAGCATTTACAATGCTTTCCTATGGACGCTGGCGTGCTCTCACTGTGAAAATCACAGTGAGAAGCACGCAAGCGCCTCTAGTGGCTGTCAATGAGACAGCCACTAGAGGATTAGGGGGAAGGCTTAACCCATTCATAAACATAGTAGTTTCTCTGAAACTGCTATGTTTATGAAAAAATGGGTTAACCCTAGCTGGACCTGGCACCCAGACCACTTCATTAAGCTGAAGTGGTCTGGGTGCCTAGAGTGGTCCTTTAATTACTGCAATCCCCTTTTCAGTGGTCTTAAGTGTTCCAAGATTGCACCGCTGCTATCTATAATGAATGCGGCGGCAAGGCTCATTTTCCTGTCCGTTCGCACCTTCCACGCCTCCCCGTTCTGTTAGTCCCTACATTGGCTTCCAGTTAGATATAGGGCTCAATTTAAAATTCTGGTGCTTATGTCCCGTCGAGGCCCCTAAGCTCTGCTGTATATCCTCTGTCCGTACTCCCACCTCTAATGCTCGCCTCCAAGATTTCTCCAGGGATGCACCTCCTCTGTGGAACTCCCTTCTCCGTAAGACTTTCACCCAGTCTCCACTCATTCAAAAAATCATTGAAAACTCACTTCAAGAAAGCATATCAATTAAACTGTTAGCAGGTTTTTATTCACCAACCCCCATGACTCCTCTCCTGCAACTGTCAAAAATGACCTACTAAGCCACTTTTCTAACAACCTACTTCGTACCCCTGCTTTTACATAGAAACATAGAATGTGATGGCAGATAAGAACCATTCGGCCCATCTAGTCTGCCCAATTTGCTAAATACTTTCATTAGTCCCTAGCCTTATCTTATAGTTAGGATAGCCTTATGCCTATCTCACGCATGCTTAAACTCCTTTACTGTGTTAGCCTCTACCACTTCAGCTGGAAGGCTATTCCATGCATCCACTACCCCCTCAGTAAAGTAATACTTCCTGATATTTTTAAACCTTTGTCCCTCTAATTTAAGACTATGTCCTCTTGCTGTTGTAGTTTACCCTTTGTGTCACTATACCCCACTCCCTCTAGAATGTAAGCTCATGGAGCAGGGCCCTACACCTCTCTGTTCCTGCACGTCCAGTTGTCTGGTTACAATTGTATGTCTGTTAGTCCACCCATTGGACAGCACTACGGAATCTGATGGCGCTATATAAATAATAATCTGATATTCACTGAAGTGACAGTTGCCAGGAATGCAAAGGGAATTTCAAAATTTAGGCAAAATAAAAATCAGATTTTTCTAAAAATGTCTAGGGCGTTGCTGTCTGATTGACAGAAATGCCCAAGAGGCACTTCCTGCCTGATAACAGAATCTAAATCCTTTAAATGAGGCTGGACGTGCTCACGCTCTGCATGAGGATATCCAGTGTCGGTGGAATCCTCATAGGAAAGCATTGAGACTTGGAGCCTAATGCGCTTCCTGCACTTGTCACACATGTGAGTCAAATTATGTCTGAGGAAGCTGAGCACTGACTCGGTGCCGAGGGACATCTGCGCTGGACACTGGTAAGTAACTAAAGTTTTTTTTAACCCCTAATATGCCAAAGAAGTGAGTCCAGAGGGCTCTTCCTTTAACAGGACAATTTGTAAATCCCACCATGTTCTGTATCGTCCCATCAGTAAGTGAATAATTGGAGATGTCTGTTTCCGATATACATGACTTACTATTGTGCTTTTATTTTATTTTTTTTGTTTCAGGTGCTGGAGATCAAAACTTGTTCACTGCAGTTTATTCCAACCTTACCCAACAGCTGCCCCGAGAACCTATGGAGTGGAGAAGGTGAGTCTGCTACATAACATTCAAAATCTTTTCGTCCTCACTCTGTCTCTCTAAACTGACACCAACCACTTCCTATGTTCCTGTCCATGTGATATCACTTTTCTCTTCTCTCTCTATATTCAGGGCTTATGGCCGTGCTCCAAAGATGATCCACCTGGAGTCCAACTTTGTTCAGTTTAAAGAAGAACTTTTACCCAAAGAAGGAAACAAGGCCCTACTCACCTTCCCATTCCTGCACATTTACTGGACTGAGTGCTGTGTGAGTAGTGGATATGGTGCTGGTTCTTTGCTCACTAGTTAGAGAAGGCCGTGATTTATTAATTGCAACATCTGAGGAAAGGGATTTAGGGGTGATTATTTCAATGATTTAAAGGTAGGCAGACAATGTAATAGAGCAGCAGGAAATGCTAGCAGAATGTTTGGTTGTATAGGGAGAGGTATTAGCAGTAGAAAGAGGGAAGTGCTCATGCCATTGTACAGAACACTGGTGAGACCTCACTTGGAGTATTGTACACAGTACTGGAGACCGTATCTTCAGAAGGATATTGATACCTTAGAGAGGGTTCAGAGAAGGGCTACTAAACTGGTTCATGGATTGCGGGATAAAACTTACCAGAAAAGGTTAAAGGACCTTAACATGTATAGCTTGGAGGAAAGACGAGACAGGGGGGATATGATAGAAACATTTAAATATATAAAAGGGAATCAACACAGTAAAGGAGGAGACTATATTTAAAAGAAGAAAAACTACCACAACAAGAGGACATAGTCTTAAATTAGAGGGACAAAGGTTTAAAAACAATATCAGGAAGTATTACTTTACTGAGAGGGTAGTGGATGCATGGAATAGCCTTCCAGCTGAAGTGGTAGAGGTTAACACAGTAAAGGAGTTTAAGCATGCGTGGGATAGGCATAAGGCTATCCTAACTATAAGATAAGGCTAGGGACTAATGAAAGTATTTAGAAAATTGGGCTTGTGAGATGTTGGCAGTCTCCATGTTCTAGTATAGATGCAGGTAGTTTGTGTTAGTTGTGTGATGTTGTCAGTAGGTTCCTTGTTCTAGTATAGATGGAGGTAGTTTGTGTTGGTTGTGTGATGTTGTCAGTAGGTTCCTTGTTCTAGTATAGATGGAGGTAGTTTGTGTTGGTTGTGTGATGTTGTCAGTAGGTTCCTTGTTCTAGTATACATGGAGGTAGTTTGTGTTGGTTGTGTGATGTTGTCGGTAGGTTCCTTGTTCTAATATAGATGGAGGTAGTTTGTGTTGGTTGTGTGTTGTTGTCGGTAGGTTCCTTGTTCTAATATAGATGGAGGTAGTTTGTGTTGGTTGTGTGATGTTGTTGGTAGGTTCCTTGTTCTAGTACACATGGAGGTAGTTTGTGTTGGTTGTGTGATGTTGTTGGTAGGTTCCTTGTTCTAGTATAGATGGAGGTAGTTTGTGTTGGTTGTGTGATGTTGTCGGTAGGTTCCTTGTTCTAATATAGATGGAGGTAGTTTGTGTTGGTTGTGTGTTGTTGTCGGTAGGTTCCTTGTTCTAATATAGATGGAGGTAGTTTGTGTTGGTTGTGTGATGTTGTTGGTAGGTTCCTTGTTCTAATATAGATGGAGGTAGTTTGTGTTGGTTGTGTGATGTTGTTGGTAGGTTCCTTGTTCTAGTATACATGGAGGTAGTTTGTGTTGGTTGTGTGATGTTGTCGGTAGGTTCCTTGTTCTAATATAGATGGAGGTAGTTTGTGTTGGGTGTGTGATGTTGTTGGTAGGTTCCTTGTTCTAGTATAGATGGAGGTAGTTTGTGTTGGTTGTGTGATGTTGTTGGTAGGTTCCTTGTTCTAATATAGATGGAGGTAGTTTGTGTTAGTTGTGTGATGTTGTCGGTAGGTTCCTTGTTCTAGTATAGATGGAGGTAGTTTGTGTTAGTTGTGTGATGTCAGTAGGTTCCTTGTTCTAGTATGGATGGAGGTAGTTTGTGTTGGGTGTGTGATGTTGTTGGTAGGTTCCTTGTTCTAGTATAGATGGAGGTAGTTTGTGTTGGTTGTGTGATGTTGTCGGTAGGTTCCTTGTTCTAATATAGATGGAGGTAGCTTGTGTTAGTTGTGTGATGTTGTCGGTAGGTTCCTTGTTCTAATATAGATGGAGGTAGTTTGTGTTGGTTGTGTGATGTTGTCGGTAGGTTCCTTGTTCTAATATAGATGGAGGTAGTTTGTGTTGGTTGTGTGATGTTGGTAGGTTCCTTGTTCTAGTATACATGGAGGTAGTTTGTGTTGGTTGTGTGATGTTGGTAGGTTCGTTGTTCTAGTATAGATGGAGGTAGTTTGTGTTGGTTGTGTGATGTTGGTAGGTTCGTTGTTCTAATTAAGATGGAGACAGTTTGTGTTGGTTGTGTGATGTTGTCAGTAGGTTCCTTGTTCTAATATAGATGGAGGTAGTTTGTGTTGGGTGTGTGATGTTGTTGGTAGGTTCCTTGTTCTAATATAGATGGAGGTAGTTTGTGTTGGTTGTGTGATGTTGTTGGTAGGTTCCTTGTTCTAATATAGATGGCGGTAGTTTGTGTTGGTTGTGTGATGTTGTCAGTAGGTTCCTTGTTCTAATATAGATGTAGGTAGTTTGTGTTGGTTGTGTGATGTTGTCAGTAGATTCCTTCTTCTAGTATAGATGGAGGTAGTTTGTGTTGGTTGTGTGATGTTGGTAGGTTCTTTGTTCTAATATAGATGGAGGTAGTTTGTGTTGGGTGTGTGATGTTGTCAGTAGGTTCCTTGTTCTAGTATAGATGGAGGTAGTTTGTGTTGGTTGTGTGATGTTGTTGGTAGGTTCCTTGTTCTAATATAGATGGAGGTAGTTTGTGTTAGTTGTGTGATGTTGTCAGTAGGTTCCTTGTTCTAGTATAGATGGAGGTAGTTTGTGTTGGTTGTGTGATGTCAGTAGGTTCCTTGTTCTAGTATAGATGGAGGTAGTTTGTGTTGGTAGTGTGATGTTGTCAGTAGGTTCCTTGTGTTGGTTGTGTGATGTTGTCAGTAGGTTCCTTGTTCTAATATAGATGGAGGTAGTTTGTGTTGGTTGTGTGATGTTGTTGGTAGGTTCCTTGTTCTAGTATAGATGGAGGTAGTTTGTGTTAGTTGTGTGATGTTGTCAGTAGGTTCCTTGTTCTAGTATAGATGGAGGTAGTTTGTGTTGGTTGTGTGATGTTGTTGGTAGGTTCCTTGTTCTAGTATAGATGGAGGTAGTTTGTGTTAGTTGTGTGATGTTGTCAGTAGGTTCCTTGTTCTAGTATAGATGGAGGTAGTTTGTGTTGGTTGTGTTATGTCAGTAGGTTCCTTGTTCTAGTATAGATGGAGGTAGTTTGTGTTGGTTGTGTGATGTTGTTGGTAGGTTCCTTGTTCTAATATAGATGGAGGTAGTT